TTAAATAAATAAATAAATAAAAATAAAACAGAAGCCAGATATGGAGGTGCATGCTTGTGATTCCAGCATTCAGGAGGCAGACACAGGAGAATCACTGCAAATTTGAGGCCAGCCTGGGATACATAGTGAGTTCACGGCCAGCCTGAACTATAAAGCGAGACACTCTCTCAAAAATGTATTTAAATTTATCTTTATAAACTTTTTAAAAATAGATAATAGGAAACAGGGAGAGAGATCTTTTGCAGAAGAGAAGGAGATCTAGAGACAGAGGAGAGGTGGAAAAGGGAATAAAAAGAATTAAGATATGTTAAGTACGTTTATCTACTACTTAAGATAAATGTAAACATTACGTACTGCAAATATGTACTAATAAGAAATCATTTAAAAACGCAAAACTTCAAACATTTTTAAAAATAGTAAAAAAGAGAGACCAAGCTAAACTCAGATCCAAGCCAAGCATGGTAGTGCACACCTATAATCCTAGCACTAGGGAGTCTGAGGCAGGATGATCGCTGTGAGTTCAAGACCAGCCTGGACTATGATATGAGTTCAAGACCAGCCTGAATTGCATAACAAAACCCGTCTGAAAAAGACAAAAAAAAAAAAAAAAGAGTAAGGTAGAGCTCTAGTGAGAGTTATCTGGTGGGAGGTCAAGTAGGAGCTCAAAAGTCAGCGCATCACTTCTGGAAAGCTTCCCCATTCATTTCTCTCCTAGCCTCATTTTAAAGGTAACATGTATGAATCCATCCCTTCTCTTCCTTTGTAAGCAGAGCCTTGCCAGCCCCATTCTGTTTTTATCCTTTCATCTCTCTTGCTGAATTTTTTCCTTTCTTTTTGTAGTTTTCTGATTGCCATATGCAAATCAGTTAAATTGTGCTCTAAAGTACAGTCTGACAATGTTCTCTGAGCAGGTAAATTAAGCTCTTTAGTCATACATTGGTATTCCATTAAAGCAGGAAAGAATTAAATGAAAGGTTTTGGATTTAGAGCCAGTTAAATTTGAATCCTGTCTACCACCCCAATAGACTAGTTGAATGTGACTGTAGGGAAGTAATTTAATCTCCCTGCAACTCAGTTTCTTCTTCTCTGAAAATGAAGTGAAAGTCAGTGTTGTGGGTGTTGTGAGGACTAAATGAGCACATATTTTTAGCATTTAGGGTAATGGTTGGCATTGTACCAGGTAGTAGTTCTGGGCCATGCATCATGAGCCTGGTACTTGGTGTCATTCCAACTTTAAAGTCCTTTTGAAGCCAGATCCTTAATGACCTCTCTTAAAATGGAAGGCTGCGATGTATTAGCCTTGGCAAATGTTTCCATGTTGTGCCATTCATAGAACAGGGCTCAAGGAGGAGCTGTCTGTATACACAATGATATCTTTGTCTAGTTCCTGGTGAATTTGTGTTCACAATATAATTTATGGATTGGCTTGCAGTGGGAAGGACTTGAAGATTTGTCACATTTCTAACAGCTAGGGAGGGACTCAGTTTGGAACCTTACTATGTATTTTCATTTAATCTACACAACACAGTGGAATAGGTATGTATTGTACTCCATTGTTGAGAAAATTCAGCTCATGAAGGTTAAGTAACTTTCTTAATTACTAAACCGGTAGTAGCTGGTCTTTTGGGGATAAGCACTTTCAGACTTTGAAATTCTTTTTCACAATCTTAAATACATTCATCCCAGATGCAAGTGTCAAAACTAACCACCATCTGAATCTATGATCACCACTTTGATATTCCGTTACTTCATGAGCACCTGTGGGTCATGGTCACTTCAAGATGTGTCTCTTCTCTCTTTTTCTAATAAAATGACATGAGGTTCTGTGTCTTTCCTGTGAAGGAAAAGGACTCCTGAGTCTAGATGGGCCCAAGTGGTTCCAGCACCACCGCCTACTAACTCCTGGATTACAGAGTGATATCCTGAAAACATATGTCAAGGTGATGGCTCATTCTGTGGACACAATGCTGGTGAGTGAAGTGGGGAAGGGGAGCTCTGGTGAACTGGTGTTGGACTTCATCAGTCCAACCAGGACCAAATTAAGGGTACATTTAGAGGATAGTGAAAAACAAAAGTTAACTTCTACAGTATAGTGGATTGATAACTGGTGGTCAACTTATAACCCCCAGCTGAACTG